AAAAAAAAAAAAAAAAAAACTGCCGTATATTTGTAGTCAGTTCAGTCGTTGTAGAGCTGCCAGTAGGTTTTTCCAACTTTTCTTCTCTTTCATTCAACTTTTTTTTCTAGATTTTTTCTTTTGGACGGATATATGACTCAAATACAGAAAACTGTTGAAAGGCAGATGAAAAATTTGACAGTGACAGATAACAGGTGATATTTTTAGCTGTATTTTCAAAAGACGGCAACGATCACAGTAAAATTAGTTTCGTTGTTATTCCTTTCTTTTTTTAAGCAGCTGTGTTCGATTATACGTTTTTATATTAGTTACTGGGAAATTTCCGTCCTGACAAAAAAAAAAGAGAAAGAAAGAAAAGAGAAGAAAAAGCAGATATTAATAACTCAAAAAAGTTTTATTTTGTTATGTTCATTTTTTATTTTTCTTTCTATTTTTTTGTCTATTTTGATCACTGCCCTATCATTCTTTGCTAACTGTCATTCTCTGGTTCCTTCCCCAATCTCAAAACAAAAAAGGCAAGAAAAAAGAACACATACCAATAAATAGTGGAAAAAAAAACGGAATTTTTTTTTTTTTGCTTTGCTCGCTATATGTTCTCTTTTCTTTTCCTCTTCTTTGTTTTCTACGAAATTGTATGATAAACAAAAAATAAAAAAGTTGAAATAAAAAAATTTCGCTTCTTCTTTTGTACCACAAAAACAAAAAAAAAGAAAAAGAACAAAAACAATTCAACAAAATGTTGACAGACCAACAAACCATAAAACTATTTAATTGCCTATAAACAGCAAAAAAAAGTTTCATTTGTCACTACTTCATTACAGCTATCAATAGGTATCAGCAGTATCAATACTTTCCTGTAGTTTCTGCAAGACGCTCAGCTAAGTTGTATAGATCTTTGATACAGATTTCTAACATTGTCATCCGGTTTTGTGCACAGTTCTGATACTGTCATCCGGTTTTGTGTTCAGTTACTCAGCAGTAATCTTGGATGAACATAAGAAATGACCAACTGATATTTCAGTTACACTGTTCATCTGAAAACATACACCAGAAACAATCTTCATCATCAAACATTCCCCAACCAGCAGTTATTTGTTCAGCTGTTGGTAACCGACAATAAACAACTTTTTTTTTTTTTCTGTTGTCGACCCAATTATTAATTTAGCTGTTTGATATATATTACCAAATTGTTTCCACCTATAAAAAAGTATAAAAATAAGAGCATTCAGAAGAACTAAAACATAAAACGAAAATTTAATTGATCAATTTGAAAAGAAAAAAGGTTCTTTTTTTTTTTTATTTTTTTATTCCTTTAATTTTTCACGTCAAAAAAACAATTTTACATCACCGCTAGTTGATTCTTTTTTTTTTTGCTTTGTAAATGTTATCTATAAAATTAGTTTAAGGTTAAAATAAACATATTGCAAGAAAAAAAGAAGAAAAAAGAGAAAGAAGGAAGAAAAGTGAAGAAAAAGAGCAACATTTTAGTTTGGATACTTCTTTCATTTTTTCCTGCCACCCCTATGAAACCGTTAAACAGTATAAGCGGTAAAAAAAACAAAAAAAATTTTCTTTTTCTTTCTCCAAACTTTTCATCTTTTCAGACAAAGATATTGTCCAACTTTTGTTAACAGACAAACACCAACTAAATGAACATCTATTTTTCACGTTGTAAATGGCTTTTTTAGCACTTAGGTGCGGTACAGTTCTGTGTATCTAAAAAATATACATCACCATTTAACAATTGCAACGGTAACGGTGACAGTAGCGACAGAAGCAGAGAATGTACCAGCGGCAGCAACATCACTGGCAACAGTACTAAGTACAAGAAGAGGACGAGAACTAAAACGAAGGCGAAATAGAAATTTAGGGAAGGGGAGGGAAGGGAAGGAACGGGAAAAGCAAATCAGTGGTTGGCAGTGGGATAACGCCGCTTTATCCCAATAAAATACAAATTTTTTTTTCTGATGTTCAAAAAGAATGCTGAAAAAAAAATTGTTTGTGATTGAAAAGTTATGGTAAACGGAAAAAAAAACTCAAGAAAACACAAATTTAGATTTTTATTAAAGTCAAAAACATTGAATGTACTTTGTTGGTGCAATTTTTTTTCTTTTTTCTGGTGAATGGCAATACTCAAATAAATAGTTGTCATCTAAGTTGCAATAAACAAACGCAGTATTCAGTTTAGAAGGGAAGGAAGAAACAGGAAAAAAAAATGACTTGAAGAAATCAAACAATAAATTGTTTCAAAAACAACAGCAAAAAAAAAAAAAAAAAACTTTTATTTTTCTTTTCTTTTTTATTTTTATTCAATTTTTTTCTCTTTTTTTTTTTTTTGTCTTGCATCATAACCATTTGTTGAGAAACAACAACTGTACCTATGCAGTCTGCTAAAGTCATTAAATCAACTAGTTTGTTTATAGCTCTTATCAAGCTCAGTTTCAAATTGGTACACAAAAAAAAAACTGTTAAGCAGACAAATCAATAATAATAATTCTTTTTAAGTGAAAAATTTTATACTAGAAAAAAAAAATTTGCAAAAAAAGATGCAAAACCAGCTT